TTTTGAGTCAGTTCTAAACTGAAGGAACTGAAACAAATTTTGAAGGGTTTGTATGGGATGCTATCAAACTTTGATCCCTTATATCTCTATCAGGAATTGCAATTCTGAGCTAATTTTTGGGATGAGGGCATCTTTTAGGATCCTCTAAAAGAATGTGACATCATATCCCACAATTTTAAAAATTTTATTTTTGTGATGTCATCACTTTAGGACTCTATAAAACATTAAAATATGCTAAATGACAACTCACCTGGGCTAGAAGATTGTAACAATTTACTTTCTTCTGGACTAGGAGATGTTCCATCATCTGTCAACAATAGAAGATAGAAGTTAGGAGTTGCTCTCCCAATCATACCATAGACAACATCATGCCATATGCACCAGGCCCGGTTGTTCAAAAGGTGTATATAACGCTATCCACCGGATAAATTGATATCCAGCAGATAGCATGGTTTGTTTTGTCAACACTTAATCCACTGGATAGCGATTTATTGGGTGGATAGAGTTATCCAGCCTTCAATTGTCAACATCAACATATTCTGACTGCGGGAGGCAAACAATAATATATGGAATATACTAGCCTAGAATAAAGGTTAATCTCACTAATCGGTTTAAAAAAATAGGAAAAAAATTTTCAACACATATCATCCACCAAATATGAATCCATTAACTTGAAATATGATTTGAAATCTTAATGAATTCTTTATTAGTCCACTCTTAGTTCATATTCATCAATCATCCCATGTTACTTTCAACTACAGTGCTAAAACACATGAAAAACAGTATGTTATTTACACAGCACCCCTTGAATTGGTCATTCTTGTTGTGAAGTGATAATGCAATCAATTATGACCACTCTTTGACCCCGTGGCTTGCAAACAATTACTACTGTTGCTAAGTTCCTCACGTATGTCAGATCAGAGAGAATAACAAGAAGTCCTAGTACAGTATATGAACGAAGAAAAGTCGAAGATCAAGATGTACTCCACCATTGCTTAGTCTCGTTGACATCAGAATTGATGTGCAGCAATGCCAATCCGGCTGAGTTTTAGCTTACAGGATGTATGTTAATAGAAACTCGCTTTGAGTAGGTATCTACTGACAAAACTTTCCCTACATTTGGACTCGAATAAGAGAAAAAAATTCACAATAATAATGAGTTAATTGTAGATAGAACCATGATGTAAACGACATAAGCTTAACTGAGAAAGAATACCTCATTTTCGCACCCGTTTTATACACGATCATTACAATCATAACGCACAACGGCGAGAAAACATCCAAAGGTATTTCCGCTTTCAAAACAACAAACCTTTTGGAAGATTAACTCCTGTTCGTGCCATGACCAGTTTGAAATTCAGTTCTGAAAAACAAAATCAAACCATACTGATTTCGCAAGGGCAAGATCAAAACATTTAACCTGATCTGTAATTAAAGAATTTTTCGGGAACCGTGGAAAATGTCGTAGATGGCTTTTCTAAGATTGATCTTAGTTTCTCGATCCAGTGGAACGAGAACACTGTAACTCGCTCACCTTTGTTTTCAGCTTTTAATCGTTCTATTTCGCTATGCAAATTGGACAATGTTTCTGCATGTTGAGTACGTAGATAGTCTATTCTTTTCTCTACGTTATCAATCCTATGACTCTGATCAAGTAAATGTCCTCTAGATGGGGCAGAAACAATCCTTCCCGAGAAATTTGACTTCTCATTCGATTTCTCGTCCGCGCCTTCGTCCATTTCCTCTCTAATCGATTTTATAGGTTGTAAGCGGTCACGAATTATTGGACGCGGCTGTTTTCTCCTTCCCAAAGTGTTTCTAGACCACGAAGGAAGATCTTGGAGAGGAGGAAGGTTGGCAGGTTGTGTCGGAGCCTTTGCCATGGTCTGTAAGGACTGCATAGCCGCTATGATTAAAGTTCTTTAGCACCAGCTGGTAGCCAATAGCTAGAGCGTCAAATCTACAAGTGTGAACCGTTTGTGACGCAGGGCGTTCAAATCGACGAGCATTTTCCCTTCGTAGGTGTTCGCCGATCGCAGAAGATGTTTAAATTCCTTCTAACAATACGTTGGAAGTGAAAGAACCCAGATCGTAGCAAAAATGGATGGTGTGATTTCCTTAACGCTATCACAAACAGTGAAAATTCCCAAACTTCGCCAAAACCAAAGCACGCATGACTACCAAACAGCGTTGCCATGGTGAACACTGTTGAGAATCTGTATTGCAATCACGCGCAACAAGATTTCAGGTTGATTTCCTGACTAAAATCGTTTGACTAGGATGATATCTTTGACTTGGCTGTAGTAATATTTTCCTAAGGTTTAGGATTAACTTGCGTATTAACAAGGCGAATTGTAATGCGGTAAAAATAACAAAAAGTCAGCGGGATCAAGGAATGTTCCCGAACAAGTGGAAACAAAAGAACAATAAATTCAACGCTGTGAATGCAATATTCTTGACTCAGTCGCAAACAAAATCTGTCTATTTCAGTAATCGCTTACAATAATTGCAATATCAAGTATTAAAGCAAAATGTATGAAAAATGTACTCAGTTTCAGGGCTTTATAAAAATTAACAAAAATTGAAAGGATTTTCCGCGCTCTAAGAGTGATTTATGCGGAGTGCAAAGGATCCTCATAAAAATTTTATATCTACAGTCCAGTGGTTCTATAGCTAGTGTATGTCTTTGCCGTTGAAGCGGCGGTATGTTTAAGTAAAAACTAGCCTTTGATACCAGCTAGGCGATCGAAAGTAAAGCTGGACTGAAAGCCGGAAGGGGACTGGAAATCGAAAAGTACCGGCTGACTGAAAAATTATTCGCTGAACGGATTGGCCCCTCCTCTAGACAAGCTGGAAGAGGATGATACTACATCTTTCTCGTTGTTTATACTCTATGAACTCCTAGGGGAAAAACATGGCTTGTGCTGGCTTCCCGCATCTCAAATCTGTCAAATTAGACTTACCGACAAGTCGGTCTTCAATAGCCGAACAGTTTTCGGCAAATTTTCATTTTCAAGAATTTTACTCTCCGGCGAGGAGATAGCTTTTTCGCGAATGTCATACGGAACAATTATGATTTTTTAGGGAGATTTCCGAAACTTCCTGACGACTTCAGAGGAAGATTCGACTTAACGGCTTTTGGGCCGTGAATTGGCAAAAAATTATCACAATGTTATTTATCGATATAGGAAAGGTACGATACGATTTTTTTCAGAGAAAACTTTGTTCTCACCCTGCAAACAGAGTCTCTTTTATCGCTTTTTTGAGCGGATAGGTCTCGGTACAAGGCATATGTACCGTAAGAAAAGGCTCTGCTTGCAGGGTGCTTTGTTCTGTGCTCTAGTTTACATAATAAACGCTGATTTTAACCAGGATACGGTCATTTAGCAACCCCGTTGCAGTAATGTCAATTTAGCCACCCCGTTGTAGTGATATCAACATTAATCATAACAATTACAATTTCCTCAAATGTGATTGGTACATAAACTGCAGTATTTTCCTCTAATTAATCTGCAAAGTTGTAATCGGACAGTGTAATCGGACAGTTGGCTGTAATCGGACACCTGTAATCGGACAGTTACATGAGCCAATCATTTTAAGTCCTCTCCACTAAATCCACCAATCACAACATTGATTCCAATCACTATAGTAACCACTGACTGAGACTGACTTTGTAAAATTGTGGAGGTTTAGTCTCTGGTGACTGTTTTCCATATTTTATAATTATGATATTTAAAATGACAATAAAAAGCTCTTGTTCAAATGAAACTTTTACTTTTGAGGGAAATTGTAATTGTTATGATTAATTGGTAACAGGACATCGTGTCGTCCAATTCAGTCTATAATCTTACTC